AGATGTCCTGATGTCTTAATATCTTAAGACCAAAAAAGCATTCTCAGTTTGAGTTTCACTTTAATAATAATAATAGCGATTGTTGTGGAAGTCAGGGGCCCTTGTAGTAGAGTACACCTACCTCAGGATTTTTTGCTTTGTTGCCTTATATATAAACAAGCACTACACCTAAGATGGGCATGTTCCTCCTCTTTTGGGAATTCCCTGCTCTGTTTATGAAATAACCATTCTTTTATTCCTTTATTTGCTCAATAAACTTACTTTCACTTTACACTGGGGACTTGCTCTGAATTCTTTCTTTCTTTCTTTATTTTTTTTTTTTTTCAGACGGAGTTTCACTCTTGTTACCCAGGCTGGAGTGCAATGGCTCGATCTCGGCTCACCGCAACCTCCACCTCCTGGGTTCAAGCAATTCTCCTGCCTCAGCCTCCCGAGTAGCTGGGACTACGGGCGTGCGCCACTATGCCCAGCTAATTTTTTGTATTTTTAGTAGAGACGGGGTTTCACCTTGTTGACCAGGATGGTCTCAATCTCTTGACATCATGATCCACCCGCCTCGGCCTCCCAAAGTGCTGGGATTATAGGCTTGAGCCACCGCGCCTGGCCACTGAATTCTTTCTTTTTTTTTTTTTTTTTTTTTTTGAGACGGAGTTTCGCTCTTGTTACCCAGGTTGGAGTGCAATGGCACGATCTCGGCTCACCGCAACCTCCGCCTCCTGGGTTCAGGCAATTCTCCTGTCTCAGCCTCCTGAGTAGCTGGGATTACAGGCACGCACCACTATGCCCAGCTAATTTTTTGTATTTTTAGTAGAGACGGGGTTTCACCATGTTGACCAGGATGGTCTCGATCTCTTGACCTCGTGATCCACCCGCCTCGGCCTCCCAAAGTGCTGGGATTACAGGCTTGAGCCACCGCGCCCGGCCATTGAATTCTTTCTTGAATGAGATCCAAGAACCCTCTCTTGAGACCAGGATCAGGACCCCTTTCCAGTGGCAACTTCAGATCTCTCTGCTCCAACTGCTTTGTTCTCAAATAGCTGCATAGAATGTTTGCTGCCTACTCCTTTCAGGTCACTTTACTAGAGTCCTTTCAGAACTCCCTGTATTAGTCCATTCTCACTCTGCTAATACATACCCAAGACTGGGGTAACTTATAAAGGACAGAGGTTTAATTGATTCATAGTTCAGCATGGCTGAGGAGGCCTCAGGAAACTTACAATTGTGGTGGAAGGGGAAATGAACACGTCCTTCACATGATGCCAGAAAGGAGAAGTGCTGAGCAAAAGGGGGAAAAGCTCCTTATAAAACTATCAGATCTTGTGAGAACTCACTCAAAAGAAGAGCAGCATGGGGTTAACTGCCCCCATGATTCAATGACCTCCCACTGGGTCCCTCTCATGACACATGGGGATTATTGGAACGACAGTTCAAGATGAGACTTGGGTGGGGACACAGCCAAACCATATCACTCCCTATTTAAAATAATATTATGAGGAATCAAGGTGTGGTAGATCACGCCTGTAATCCCAGCACTTTGGGAGGCTGAGGTGGGCAGGTCACTTGGGGTCAGCAGTTCGACAACAGCCTGACCAACATAGTGAAATACCATCTCTACTAAAAATATAAAAATTAGCCAGGCGTGGTGGTGGGCAAGTGTAATCCCAACTACTCAAGAGCCTGAAGCACAAGAATTGCTAGAACCTGGGAGGCAGAGGTTGCAGTGACTGAAATGGCATCAGCGCACTCCAGCCTGGGTGACAAACAGAGTAAGATTCCGTCTCAAAAAAATAAGTTAAAAACACACACACACGGCCGGGCGCAGTGGCTCACACCTGTAATTCCAGCACTTTGGGAGGCCAAGAGGGTGGATCATGTGAGGTCAGGAGTTCAAGACCAGCCTGACCAACACGGTGAAACCCCGTCACTACTAAAAACCCAAAAATTAGCCAGGCATGGTGGCGTGTGCCTGTAGTCCCCACTACTTGGGAGGCTGAGACAGGAAAATAGCTTGAACCCAGCAGGTGGAGGTTGTGAGCCAAGATCACACCACTGCACTCCAGCCTGGGCAACAGAAAAGACTCCATCTCAAAAAAAAAATTGATAGTAGGCCGGGCTCGGTGGCTCAAGCCTGTAATCCCAGCACTTTGGGAGGCCGAGGCGGGTGGATCACGAGGTCGAGAGATCGAGACCATCTTGGTCAACATAGTGAAACCCCGTCTCTACTAAAAATACAAAAAACTAGCTGGGCGTGGTGGCGCGTGCCTGTAATCCCAGCTACTCAGGAGGCTGAGGCAGGAGAATTGCCTGAACCCAGGAGGCGGAGGTTGCGGTGAGCCGAGATCGCGCCATTGCACTCCAGCCTGGGTAACGAGAGCGAAACTCCGTCTCAAAAAAAAAAAAAAAAAAAAAAAAAGATAGTAATAAGTAAAACACACACACACAAAACCAAAAATTAGTGGGGTGAAGTGGTTAGGTGCATCTGTAGTCCCAGCTACTCAGTAAGTTGAGGTGGGAATATTGCTCAAACCTGGAAATTCGAGGCTGCAATGAGCTGTGACTATACCACTGCACTCCAGCCTGGGGAACAGAACAAGACGCTATCTCCAAAAAAAAAATTGTTATTATATCCTTAGGAGAGTAGATCTTAAATGTTCTCACCACACACACACACAAAAGATAACTACGTGAGGTGATGGATAGATGAATGAGCTGGTTTGTGGTAGTCATGTCATAGTCTACACATATTTCAAAACATCAAATTGTACATCATAAATATATTTAATTTTTATTAGTCAATTACACCTCAATAAATGTGGAAAAAATAATAGCCATTCTTAGGCTTTTTTTTTTTTTTTTAGACAGAGTCTTGCTCTGTTATCCAGGCTGCATGGCGACGTCTTGGCTCCACTGCAACCTCTGCCTCTTGGGTTCAAGCGATTCTCTGTCTCAGTTTCTGGAGTATCTGGGATTACAGGTGCCCACTACCATGCTCAGCTAACTTTTGTATTTTTAGTAGAAATGGGGTTTCATCATCTTGGCCAGACTGATCTTGAACTGACCTCGGTATCCACCTGCCTTGGCCTCCCAAAGTGCTGGGATTACAGGTGTAAGCCTCTGCATCCAGCCCTTTTTCTTTTCTTTTTTTTCTGAGATGGAGTTTCGCTCTTGTTACCCAGGCTGGAGTGCAATGGCGCGATCTCGGCTCACCGCAACTTCCGCCTCCTGGTTTCAGGCAATTCTCCTGCCTCAGCCTCCTGAGTAGCTGGGATTATAGGCACGCGCCACCATGCCCAGCTAATTTTTTGTATTTTTAGTAGAGACGGGGTTTCACCATGTTGACCAGGTTGGTCTCGATCTCTCGACCTTGTGATCCACCCATCTCGGCCTCCCAAAGTGCTGGGATTACAGGCTTGAGCCACCGCGCCCGGCCCCCTTTTTCTTTTCTTTTTGAGATAAAGTCTGGCTCTCTTGCCTAGGCTGGAGTGCAGTGGCAGAATCTTGGCTCCCTGCAACCTCTGCTTCCTGGGTTCAAGACATCCTTTCTCACCTTAGCCTCTCAAGCAGCTGAGACTACAGGCGGATGCCTCTATGTCCAACTAAGTTTTGTATTTTTTGTGAGACAGGGTTTTGCTATGTTGCCAAGGCCGGTTTCAAACTCCTGAGCTCAAGCAATTCACCTGCCTCAGCTTCCTAAAGTGCTGAGATTACAGGCATGAGCCACTGTGCCTGGCCTCTAACATTTTCATTCCCCATAAAGAAACCTCATACCCACAAGCAGTCTTCCCCCTCTCAACTCTCCCAGCTCCTGGAATCACCAATCTATTTTCTGCATCTATGCAGTTGCCTATTCTGGGCATTCTGTAAAAACAGAATCACACAATATGTGTCTGGCTTCTTGCTCCTAGCACAATGTTTTCGAGTTTGTTCATATTGTAGCATGCATAAGTACTCCATTCTTTTTTGTTGCTGAAAAATATTTTAACTGTACAGATAGATCACATTTTGTTTATCCACTTATTGGTGGACATTTGGGTTGTTTCCACTTTTTGGCTCTTATAAATGCTGCTGCTGAGAACATTAGTGTGCAGGTTTTTGTGTGTATATGTGTTTTCACTTCTCTTGCATGTATACCTAGGAGTGGAATTGCTGGGCATATAGTAACACTATGTTAACTTTCTGAGGAACCATCAGATTGTTTTCCAAAGCAGCTGCACCATTTCACTCAATCTTGCCTCTGTGCATTCCCACAGCCCTTGGTGTCCCCTTGCTACTTCTGGCTATGTTTGTTAGCTCCTTGCCTATAGGCCTGTTTCCCTCAAGAGAGCTGGAAGCTGACAGCAATGTGTGTATTTATTTTTTTCTGGAGATAGGGTCTCACTATGTTGTTCATGCTGGTCTTGAACTCCTGGATTCAAGCAATCCATCTGTCTCATGCTCCCAGAGTGTTGGGATTACTGGCATGAGCCATCGTGCCTGGCCTGAATGATTGTGTTTTTTCCCTCCCTCTCTTTCTTTCTTCCTTCCCTCCCCCGCCCCTTTTCCTTTCTTTCTTTGAGAGGGTCTCACTCTGTCAACTAAGCTGGAGTGCAGTGGCGCGATCTCGGCTCACTGCAATCCCGACTCCTGGTTTCAAGCAATTCTCCTGCCTCAGCCTCTGGAGTAACTGGGATTACAGGCGCCCACCACACCTGGCTAACAATGAGTGTGTTTGAATCCGGAGTCACATTTATTTCCACATCCTCAGTTTCCTAATGTGTATAACGTAGACAAGGTATGGAACTCACAGGTAATCTCACCAGGAAAGTTGTGCTTCATGAAAGCTTTCCCCTGGCATGGTCTAGAAGATAGCCTCCCAAAATTACTTGTACATTATTTTTGGTCAGGAGCAAGAAAAGAAAATCCTGACAATTACTCTTTCACCCTTAACAAAGTTGGATTTTTTTTCTATTTTCCAATTAAGTTATAATTATTCATGAACCATGAGAGTCAATAAGCAAGAGTTGCTATATCATCTGGCTTTATTTTCTGGGATACACAACTGGTGCTTCTTTCATTGATGTCCTCTTCTACAAGACTCTCTGGGAGCAAGCCCTGCCACGTGCTCAGTCTCCCACTATGCTAAGTTCTTCCTCCGCTGCCTCAGCTAGCACCTCTGGCATCTGCATTCACAAGTCATCTACTGTCCATTATGTGTCCCATTCTTTGTTTTTTGTTTTTTTGTTTTTTCCTATTTCTCAGTTTCGCTCTTCACTCAGTTTCTTCTTAATATTTTTCCTGCTTTTTGATCTAATAACTAAAATGTAGAAATGATGTTACTGAGATAGTAATAAGTAGGGAATAAACATGGAGACAAAAGAGATGAAGAGAAAAGCCTGGAAAAATAGAGGTACCAATGGTGGAATTTTCAGGGGGTTCATAATTGTTATTTGTCTGATGAGGATGGTGAAAATCAAATTTTAAAATTATTTTTCCACATTGTGTATTCAAGTTGTATAAATGCCTGGTAAAAGGAGAATGTAGAAAGGTTATAATCCAATGAGGGAAAAAGACATTGGGAAAAATATTTTCTTTCCTTTTTTTTTTTTTTTTTTTTTTTTGAGATGGAGTCTCACTCTGTTGCCAGGCTGGAGTTCAGAGGCACGATCTCAGCTCACTGTCACTGCAACCTCCACCTTCTGGATTCAAGTGATTCTCCTGCCTCAACCTCCTGAGTAGCTGGGACTACAGGTGTCTGCCAACACACCTGGCTAATTTTTATATTTTTAGTAGAGGTTTCACCATGTTGGCCAGGATGGTCTCGATCTCTCGACCTCGTGATTCACTGCAGTGCAGAGGTGTGATCTTGGTTCACTGCAGCCTCAACTTCCTGGGCTCAGTCAATCCTCCCACCTCAACCTCCTCAGTTGCTGGGACTACAGGTGCACATCACTATGCCCGGCTTTTTTTTTTTTTTTTTTTTTTTTTGAGATGGAGTCTCACTCTGTTGCCCAGGCTGGAGTGCAGTGGCGCCATCTTGGTTCCCTGAAACCTATGCCTCCTGGGTTCAAGCAATTCTTGTGCCTCAGTCACCCTAGCAGCTGGGATTACAGGCACGTGCCACCACATCTGGCTCAGTTTTGTATTTTTAGTAGAGACAGAGTCTCACCATGTTGGCCAGGCTGGTCTTGAACTCCTGACCTCAAGTGATCCGCCCACCTTGGCCTCCCAAAGTGTTGGCATTACAGGTGCAAGCCAGTGCGCCCAGTTAATTTTTGTATTTTGGGTAGAGACGGTTTTCTCCATGTATCCCAGGTTGGTCTTGAACTCCTGACCTCAAGTGATCCAACTGCCTCGGCCTCTCAAAGTACTGGGATTATAGGAGTGAGCCACCATGCCTGGCCTGGAAAAACATTTTCTACAGGTTATGACGAAGCTGTCTGCCTCAGTGAGCATCAGTGATCTCTCCTGCTCTGGACATTCTGCCTCTCTTTCTGGTTATGTCTGGAGTTTGGGGATTTTTTTTTTTTTTTTGAGATGGAGTCTCACTCTGTCATCCAGGCTGGAGTGCAGTGGTACAATCTCAGCTGACTGCAACCTCTGCCTGCTGGGTTCAAATAATTCTCCTGCCTCAGCCTCCTGAGTAGCTGGGATTATAGGCAAGTGCCACCATGCCTAGCTAATTTTTTTTGTATTTTTAGTAGAGATAGGGTTTTATTATGTTGTTCAGGCTGGTCTTGAACTCCTGACCTCGTGATCCGCTTGCCTCAGCCTCCAAAGGTGTTATGTCTGGAGTTTTTAGAGAGAACGTCCATGTGAGGGATGGTTAGTAAGACTCAATCAGATACTGAACTCTCCATAGGTTTCTCTCTAGATTTTTAAAAAACAGTTATCTGGCCGGCCATGGTGGCTCAAGCCTGTAATCCCAGCACTTTGGGAGGCCGAGGTGGGTGGATCACGAGGTCAAGAGATCGAGACCATCCTGGTCAACAAGGTGAAACCCCGTCTCTACTAAAAATACAAAAAAATTAGCTGGGCATGGTGGCGCGTGCCTGTAATCCCAGCTATTTAGGAGGCTGAGGCAGGAGAATTGCCTGAACCCAGGAGGCGGAGGTTGCGGTGAGCCAAGATGGCGCCATTGCACTCCAGCCTGGGTAACAAGAGCGAAACTCTGCCTCAAAAAAAAAAAAAAAAAAAAAAAAAAAAAAAACAGTTATCCAAGAATCTCAGAACTTCTAGGCAGGGCTCAGTGGTTGACAACTGTAATCCCAGCACTTTGGGAGGTCAAGACAGGAAGATCTCTTGAGCCAAGGATTTTGAGACCAACCTGGGCAACATGGCGAAAACCAACTCTACTAAAAATACAAAAATTAGCTGGACGCAGTGGCTGGAAACTGTAATTCTATCACTTTGGGAGGCCAAGGCAGGCAGATCACTTGAGGTCAGGAGTTCAAGACCAACCTGGGCAACATGGTGAAAACCGTCTCTACCAAAAATACAAAAATTAGCTGGGTGCAGTGGGTCACACCTGTAATCCCAACATTTTGGGAGGCTGAGGCAGGTGGATCACTTGAGGTCAGGAGTTCAAGACCAGCCTGGCCAACATGGTGAGACCCTGTCTCTACTAAAAATACAAAACTGAGCCAGATGTGGTGGTACATGCCTGTAATCCCAGCTATTGGGGGGCTGAGGCACAAGAATTGCTTGAACCCAGGAGGCAGAGGTTGCAGGGAACCAAGATGGCGCCACTGCACTCCAGCCTGGGCAACAAAGTGAGACTCCATCTCAAAAAAAAAAAAAAAAAAAAAAAATTAGCCGGGCATAGTGATGTGCACCTGTAGTCCCAGCAACTGAGGAGGTTGAGGTGGGAGGATTGACTGAGCCCAGGAAGTTGAGGCTGCAGTGAACCAAGATCACACCTCTGCACTCCAGCCTGGGTGACATAGCAAGACTCTATCTCAAAAAAAAAAAAAAAAAAAAAAGACTAGGAGCAGTGGCTCACACCTATAATCCTTACACTTTTGGAGGCTGAGGCAGGTGAATCAGTTGAGGTCAGGTGTTCAAGACCAGCTTAGCTAACTGGTCAAACCCCATGTCTACTACAAATACAAAAATTAGCCAGGAGTCATGGCTCATGCCTGTCATCCCAGCTTCTCGAGAGTCTGAGGCAGGAGAATCACCTGAACCCAAGCGGTGGAGGTTGCAGTGAGCTGAGATTTTGCCACTGCACTCTAGCCTGGGCAACATAGGGAGACTCCGTTTCAAAATACACACACACACACACACACACACACACACACACACACAAATAAAAATAAACAAACAAACAAGAACTTCTATAAAATCAATTTTAAGGCCAGGTGAGGTGGGTGGCTCATGCCTGTAATCCCAGCACTTTGGGTGGCTGAGGCAGGTGGATCAACTGAGGTCAGGAGTTTGAGACCAGCCTGACCAGCATGGCGAAAACCTGTCTCTACTAAAAATATAAATAATTAGCTGGGTGTGGTGGCACATGCCTGTAGTCCCGGCTACCAGGGAGGCTGAGGCATGAGAATTGCTTGAACTCAGGAGGCAGAGGTTGTGGTAAGTCAAAATTACACCATGGCACTTCAGCCTGGGTGACAGAGCGAGACTCTGTATTAAAAAAAAAAATCAGTTTTTTTTGTTTTTGTTTTTGTTTTTTGAGACGGAGTTTCACTCTTGTTGCCCAGGCTGGAGTGCAATGGCGCGATCTCGGCTCACCGCAACCTCCGCCTCCTGGGCTCAGGCAATTCTCCTGCCTCAGCCTCCTGAGTAGCTGGGATTACAGGTACGTGCCACCATGCCCAGCTAATTTTTTGTATTTTTAGTAGAGACGGGGTTTCACCATGTTGAGCAGGATGGTCTCGATCTCTTGACCTCGTGATCCACCCGCCTCGGCCTCCCAAAGTGCTGGGATTACAGGCTTGAGCCACCGTGCCCGGCCTAAAAATCAATTTTAAATGAGCAATGTCACCCTCTTCTCACAAGGACAACAGAACATGTCTGTGGTGGGCATGGCATGCTGGGAACTTTTACCCTGGGGCAGTGGCCTCTATTTTGTGTGTCTGGATCCCATTTTCACATCAGATGGAGACAGATGGTGCAGGTGAAACATCTGCCTGTCTGTGTTCTGAATGCAGGATAACATCATGGTAATGAGTATGTTTAAGGGAAATGTTTTGTGCTGGGAAAAGTTTGTTTCCTGAACTCTGTTAGATCCATGGAATTGCCCTGCAAAAGGAGCTGAGGAACCCCACAGCTGTTTACCCATCTGTATGATTTGATGAGAAAAGTTCATGTCTCTAAGTGTGGCTGTGAATATTTGTCTCCTTTACTTCCAACTCTCTTAACTCCCACTTATCTTTCCCTTTGAAAACGAAGCCACTGTGGCCAGCCCGGCTTTCCTGTGAGTGGCTCTGACAGGTCACTCTACCTGAGTGGATGAACTTCTCCAGCTCCTTTTCATTCTCTGGAAGTAGGTGCCTCGACTCATCCTCATTCTCTGAGCCCTCTTCGTTGCCTCCTAATAATGGTATCTTGATGTTCTTATAAAGTGACTCAAGCCGCTGTCTTTCCTCAGCCTGTGCCAGCTGACTGGAGAATGGTAAATTAATTTAGAAGCACAGTCTTCATGGTGAATAATTCATTTCTTCATCATGCCACATTTTGACTGGAAAGGAGTTGCTTGTGGGGTGGGTACAGAAATAAGACTTTGAAACCAGACTAATCTGGTTAGATCTCAAACGTCTATATGGTCAGGCCTTTCCTATAGTAAGGTGTAACTCTGATCATCCCAAAGCATGGATCAAAGCCAGGACTAGAGATGAACAAGGCACTCACGTTGGGTTCAAAACTAAAGATGCTGACAAAAAATCTGTAATCAAGACAAATCATCTCTCTCTTTCTTTCTTTGAGATGGAGTCTCACTCTTGTTGTCCAGGCTGGAGTGCTGTGGCATGATCTTGGCTCACTGCAACCTCCGCTTCCTGGGTGCAAGCGATTCTCCTGCCTCAGGCTCCCAAGTAGCTGGGATTACAGGTGCGCGCCACCACGCCTGGCTAATTTTTTGCATTTTTAGTAGAGATGGGGTTTCTTTCAAAATCTACTTCTGAAAAAAATGAACCACTAAAAATTACATAAAACTTTACTTCTGAACAGGTGGTTTTTTGGTTTTTTTTCTTTTGGTTTTGGCCTGAGGCTTTACTATAGCTTAGTGCTAATACGAATGTGAAAACAGTAAGAACTGACTAGCTCAACAACTCAATTGAACACTCAGTGTCCAGGAGATATGTTTTACTGAGTTGTCTTAGAAAACTTTATATTTATTAATATTTTTGTCTATAATAATGAAATTATACAGAAGCTACAGTAACTTTTTTTTTTTTTTTTTTTTGAGACAGGGTCTTGCTCTGTCTCCCAGGCTAGAGTGCAGTCGCACGATCTCAGATCACTGCAACCACCACCTCCTGGGCTCAAGCCATCCTCCCACCTCAGTCTCTTGAGTAGCTGGGACTACAGGTGCATGCCACCACACCTGGCTAATTTTTATATCTTTACAAATTTTTATATCAGACAGGGTTTCACCATGCTGCTCATGCTGATCTCAAATACCTGAGCTTTAGGGATCCACCCCCGCCTTGGCCTCCCAAAGTGTTGGGATTACAGGCGTGAGCCACTGCCTCCGGCCTATACAGTTACATAAATTAAGTTGATGTAGTGGACATAACCCACAAGCAAGCACGCAGGTTATGCTCTCATTACCAAAATTTTTCCCGTTACATTTAATCTCACTTTGCCTTCATGTGACCTATCTAAGGTGGTCTTAACATAGCTATCCCAAAAAATAACCCACACATGGCAATATGGCTCCTGTTTTCATACTTAATTCTAATGAAGCCAGCAATCATGTACTTCTCAAGCTGTTTCTGGTAGGATAGAATGGAATCCTAGCATGGAATCATAAAGTAGGAGTCAGAGTCTGTTGGTTTGGTCAGAAGAGCATGAGGTCACAGTATGTCTCACCCTTTTCTACTGTGAATTTCAAAACGATTATATCACTTGAAAGAGCTTGACCTAAAGCTTTATTTGCGAAGATGGTGAGGTATCTTCCCCCAAAGCTGCTATTACCCCAGACTGCACTGACACATTTTAGCAAAAGACAGTGTGATCACTCTTTTCTGCGATGTACTATTGAGATTCCTTCCAACGTAGCAAGTTCATTTTATTTTCATTTATTTGAGACAGAGTTTTTGCTCGTCGCCCAGGTTGGAGTGAAATGGTGCGATTTCTGCCCACTGCAAACTTCACCTCCCAGGTTCAAGCAATTCTCCTGTCTCAGCCTCCTGAGTAGCTGAGATTACAGGCACCCGCCACCACGACCAGCTAATTTTTGTATTTTTAGTAGAGACGGGGTTTCACCATATTGGCCAGGCTGGTCTCAAACTTCTAACCTCAGGTCTCTCAGAGTGCTAGCATTACAGACGTGAGCCACATCACCTGGCCTCAAGTTCATTTTAAAATACCGAATTCTGGGGGAATGGTGGTTTATACCCATAATCCCAGCACTTTGGGAGGCCATGTTTGGGGGGGCTGGGAATGATGGCTCACACCCGTAATCACAGCATTTTGAGAGGCCAAAGTGGGTGGATGACTTGAGGCCAGGAGCTCACGACCAGCCTGGCAACATGGCAAAACCCAGTCTCTAGTAAAATACGAAATGTAAAATAAAATAAAATACTGAATTTTGGGAGGATGCCAGCATCTCATACCGTGTCTTTCAAACATTTTTGAACATGACTCCCAGTAAGAAATATATTTCACAACTGTGTGTCTCTGTGTGTGTGCCTGTCTCACGTGTGTGTTTGAAAAGTTTAAACATCAGCCTTTTACATTAATAATTTATGTTTTCTGATATTTTCTATTCTGCTGAATTGTATTCTGTCCTGTTTTCTTTTTCCTTCCTTCCTTCCTTCCTTTCTTCTCTCTCTCTCTCTATTTCTTTCTTTCTTTGTATCATGACCCAACATGAGTACAATCCACATTTTGAAAACACTAATCTGGAAATTTGTATGCACTATAATGATTTAGCAATTATAAGAAATACCATCATCACCCTTTCACACTACATGATCGTCAGTTGACTTGTTATGTCTTACTTGAGGACAGTAGATGTCAGTAAGTGGATACTTACTATATCATACCGGATACTGCCATCCCACATATCAGGGCAACGCTGAAGGCTACGCCCGAAATTAAAATTACTTTAACAAGAGCAGGTCTATGCTGAATCATTGCTAAAAATGGAAAGAAAAGAAGTGCTCAAAAATTTTCATTTTAGCTATCTTTCAGTTAACATATTTGTCCTTACAGAGGGGAATAGAATTCAAAACCAGAAACACTTTTTTTTTTTGAGACAGAGTTTCGCTCTTGTTACCCAGGCTGGAGTGCAATGGCGCGATCTCAGCTCACCGCAACCTCCGCCTCCTGGGTTCAGGCAACTCTCCTGCCTCAGCCTCCTAAGTAGCTGGGATTACACGCACGCGCCACCACGCCCAGCTAGTTTTTTTTTGTATTTTTAGTAGAGACGGGGTTTCACTATGTTGACCAGGATGGTCTCGATCTCTCGCCCTCGTGATCCACCCGCCTCGGCCTCCCAAAGTGCTGGGATTACAGGCTTGAGCCACCGCGCCCGGCCCAATTATACTATATTTTATGGATCTTTCTACCAGCACGCACATAGTACACATTCATATGGCAGACAAAAGGACTCCAGGCTATGATTCTCACTTCGCTGAATGGGAAATTCAATGACTCACCCATCGATCTGGAGGCAGCCCCTTGAATCCCAGATAATTGGGTTTTACGAAAGAACACTTTGGGTTCTTTGGTGATGTTTCTGGGTGGTTGTGACTGTTTATTGCCTTGAAAAGAAAACTTTTTGAGGTGAATTGTAATTACTCTTTTTAAATTTCCCCTGAAACAGCTTTTCAATTCTCCTGAGTCAAGTAAAACCAATGGTTGAAGCTACCTGGTAAGCCTGTTATGTTTCCAGCTGGATGGAGTCCATCTGCATCCACCAAGCATAAATGAAGTGGGCATTCCATTAAAAACAAAAAGAAAAAGAGGAAACCACTCTGAACCTTGTCCATCACTCACAAATTGTCCGTATTTTATCCTATGGATGAAGGAAATACTTAGCTACAGTCCAGCATTTGCCCTGTATTTATCTGAGGAACCAGGAAGTTCTGCTCCTTTCAGAATGTTTGGGCAGTGACCCGGAGCCATCAGTGTGAGGTCAGTCCTTGCTGTGGAAATGGAGTTCCTTCACGGAACCAGGCTGACCAATGGGGAGACTTCAGTGTAAGTGGGCAGTGCTTGCAGATATAGGCATGGATGAGACCAGGTCCCTGCCTGCAGTGTGCAGATTAGTGAGGAGGCAGAAAGAACTCAATTATAGTCAGCCCTCTGTATGCATAGTTTCCCATCGGTGATTTCCACCAACTTCACTTGGAAGATGGTCAAGAAAAAGGGGCCAGGAACGATGGTGCACGCCTGTAATCCCAACACTTTAGCAGTTCAAGGTGGGAAGACTACTTGAGGCCAGGAGTTTAAGACCAGCCTGGCCAACACAGCAAAAGTCCATCTCTACTAAAAATACAAAAATTAGCTGGGCATGGTGGTGCATACCTGTAGTTCCACGTACTTGGGAGTCTGAGGCATGAGAATCACTTGAACCCAAGAGGTGGAGGTTGCTGTGAGCTGAGATCGCACCCCTGCACTCCAGCCTGGTGACACAGTGAGAATCTGTCTGAAAAAAAAAAAAAAAAAAAAGGCCGGGTGCAGTGGCTCACGCCTATAGTTCCAGTACTTTGGGAGGCCAAAGTGGGTGAATCACTTGAGGTAAAGAATTTGAGACTAGCCTGGCCAACACGGTAAAACCCTGTCTCTACTAAAAATATAAAAATTAGCCAGGTGTGGTGGCACGCACCTGTGGTCCCAGCTACTCAGAAGGCTGACGCAGAAGAATTGCTTGAACCCAGGAAGTAGGGACTGCAGTGAACTGAGATCGCACCACTGCACTCTATCCTGGGTGACAAACCGAGACACTGTTTCCAAAAAAAAAAAAAGAAAATGTTCAGAAAAAAAATTCATTTGTGATAACGTACATTATTTCTTGTTATTAGGCATCATAAGTAATCCCGAGATATTTAAAGTATGATGGAAGATGTACATAATTATATGCAAATACAACATGTATCAGGGACTTGAGCATCTGTGGATTCTGGTATCCATGGGAGGTCCTGGAACCCAGTCCCCATGGATACGAGGGATGATTGTAAAACACCAACAGGATGGGCGCAGTGCCTGTTATCTCAGCACGTTGGGAGGCTGAGGCGGGAGGATCAACTTGAACTCAGGAATTCGAGGCTGCAGTGACCCATGATCATGCCACTGCCCTACAGCCTAGGCAACAAGAAATAGGATGTTGACTGGGCATGGTCGCTCATGCCTGTAATTCCAGTGCTTTGGGAGGCCGAGATGGGAGGAAGGCTTGAACCCAGGAGTTTGAGACCAGCCTGAGTGACATGGTGAAACTCTGTCTCTACAAAAAATATTTTATTATTTATTTGTTTATTTTGAGATGGAGTCTTCCTCTGTCGCCCAGGCTAAAGTGCAGTGGCATGATCTTGGCTCACTGCAGCCTCTGCCTCCTGAATTCCAGCGATTCTCCTGCCTTGGTCTCCCAGGTAGCTGGGATTACAGGCAAATGCCACGATGCCTGGCTAGTTTTTGTTTTTTTAGCAGAGATGGGGTTTCGCCATGTTGGCCAGGGCTGGTCAAGATCTCATGACCAGGTGATCCACCTGCCTGCTAGGATTATAGGCGTAAGCCACTGTGCCCGGCCTTCTAAAAATATTTTTTTCAAAAATTAGCTGGATGTAGTGGCATGTACCTGTAGTCCCAGCTCCTTGGGATCCAGGTGGGAGGATTGCTTGAGACCAAGAGTCCAAGGCTGTAGTGAGCTGTGATTGCACCACTGCACTCCAGCCTGGATGACAGAGTGAGACCTTGTCTCTTAAAAAATAAATAAATAAATAATTTGACATAATTGATTAATATAAATTTTTTTATATATTAGGCAGCTCATGTCAGAAAATAGAATGCTGAGAATCTTCTAGTCCAGTGGCTTCTCTACCCACCTATGTGTTGGTTTTCTATTTCTGCCTAGCAAATTATCACAAGCCTCAGCAGTCTAAGCCACACCCATTTATTAGTTCACATTTTCCGAAGTCCTTGATTCCCTACTAAAATCAAGGTGTTGCCAGACGCTTTGGGAAGCCGAGGCAGGCCGATCACCTGAGTTCAGGAGTCCGAGACCAGCCTGACCAACATGGAGAAACCTCATCTCTACTAAAAATACAAAATTAGCCAATCCCACCTACTCAGGAGGCTGTGGTGGGAGAATCACTTGAACTTGAGAGGCAAAGGTTGTGGTGGGCTGAGATAGCATCATTGCACTCCAGCCTGGGAAACAACAGCAAAACTCCATCTCAAAATAAATAAATAATAAGATCAAGGTATTGGCTGAGACTAACTATTGCTTGTTCCTCGTTCAATTACTGTTTGACTGGAGATGTACACAGAGTATTTTGTTGTTCAAATAGGATTGTATAAATACCTGAGTAGCTGTGTTAAGCTGCTGGTATAATTGGCTGAACGTGGAATGAGTTCACTGGCTTCTCTAGCTACGTCTATTCTGGAGACACAGCAGGTATAAAATTGTGAAAGTATTTATTTATGAGACAGTCTCGCTCAGTTGCCCAGGCTGGAGTGCAGTGCTACATGATCCTGGCTCACTGCAACCTTTGCCTCCCGGGCTCAAGCCATTCTCTATGCCTCAGCTTCCCAAGCAGTTGGGACTACAGGCACATCTGGCTAATTTTTGTATTTTTCATAGAGACGGGGTTTCGCCATGTTGGCCAGCCTGGTCTTGAAATCCCGACCTCAAGTGATCTGGCCACCTTGGCCTCCCAAAGTGCTGAGAATAGAGGTGTAAACCCCACTCCCAGTCTGTGCGAGTCTTTTTTTTTTTTTGAGATAGAGTGTCGCCCAGGCTGGAGTGCAGCGGCCCAATCTTGGCTCACTGCAACCTCCGCCTCCTAGGTTCAAGCAATTCTCCTGCCTTAGCCTCCCAAGTAGCTGTGATTACAGTCGCCTGCCACCAGCCCAGCCAATTTTTGCATTTTTTGTACAGACAGGGTTTCACCACACTGGCCAGGCATCTCAAACTCCTGACCTCAGGCAATCCTGCCCGCCTCTGTCTCCCAAAGTGCTGGGATTATAGGCAGGAGCCACCAAGCCTGACAGTGAAAGTCTTTAGAATTGAGCAGATGCTCTGACTGGCTCCTCCATCCAGACCATTTCAGCTTTCATTTGTCATTTACTAAGAAATTTTATACCTCCTAGGAGATAAAAGTTAAATTGTAGATATTTGAGAGTAATGTAGATAATGCCTGTCCATATAAATCAAAATTGTGTCTGGTGGAATGCATTCATTAATGTCTTGTGGACATACAGAAACAAACTGGCCATATGGAAAATGACCAGTTTTCCCAGATTTGTGTCCATTTCTTTTTAATTTTCTTGTAGAGGGAGGGTCTCATTCTGTCATCCAGGCTGGGGTGGTGCAAATATGGCTCACTATGGCCTCTAACTCCTGGACTTAAGTGATCCTTTCATCTCAGCCTCCCAAAGCGCTGGGACCAAAGGTGTTAGCCACTGCGCTTGTCCATCGAGTCCATTTCTAAGTTCACCTGAGCATTCCTCTAAAAAAGACTCCATGACCAAACTTTAGTCACACTTGTCTTCTAGACTAGGCCTTATTGCTATCCGTGGCCTACTGAGCTCATTTTTAGCAAGAAGCAAGCTAAAGCCAGTTTAGCAGAATCCTTCCCCGACCCTTAACATCCAGTTCAGTTCCTTTTCACCCATCCTTGGTAGATAACCATATTTCTTTTGGAGTTTTCTGTCCTCTCCCTCACCCTGCCTGTGTGCAAAAACCCCCAAACATCCCTCCTGCATTCAGAGTTCAACCACTCCCCTTTTGCTATAGCCTTGAATAAAGTCTTCCTTGCCATGTCAAAGAAGTGTCTGGGTGCAATTTCTCTTTGACACCTCATCAGATCTTAAGTGTGTGGAACTTGGAGTTAATCTCAGAACTGTTTGTAGTAGCTTAACAGATTCAAGTTTCTATGTTGTTTACATGAGTATACACTACAAAAATACATTTTTGTA